GCGAGTACAGCGAAACGCTGTACCTTCTTTCGAGGACTGTGCATTCGTTCACTCACGAAACTCAAGTCAACCGAAGAGCGAAGCAGGGGGGTGAGGTGCAGGCCACTCTTGGCGATATGTGGGGGCGATAGTTTTTTTTTTCGGAGGGCATACAGCGATGGGCTCTTTTTTTTTATTGCTTCATCTTCACCGATAATTTAGCGTTGATGTCCATCTGAGTTTCGTGTGTAGGGTGTTTGTGTCTCTATCGCTTAGGATATACTGAAGTATCGTGTCAAAGTTGGAACCGCTGTGGTGAAGGATGTGTCGGTGAGGTTTTCAACATCAGGAAAACGAGAAGAAAATAAAAACAACACAGCAGGCAGCAGTCGCCACACAACCGAGAGAGTGCACTGCAGTCATAACAAAACTATATCCCGCAACAACCCACATGTCGGGAGCATATTATTGCGGGCGGTGGCGCGGTAACTTAAAACATGGTTTATAATATATAAATATATATATATAGTGCATTCCACTTTCAACCACGGCTACGTTGTGAGCGGTCAGATTTATGGATCCTCGTTTCGTTATAAGTTACGTGTTGCAACGGCGCGTCTTTTGATGTATGTTATGCCTCCATCGGCCCCGGGGGTGGTGCGTTATCGTCCCCGGAATCTTAAAGACGATTCCCCGCGTTAAAGACGCTTTGAAAGAAAAAAACGCTATGCGTCTTTAAAGCGGGGACGACTGTACATGAAATACAACAGGACAAAGATTGCCTCAGTAACAGGGACACATACATCTGTCCGCGCTGTGGATCATTTTCTCTAGCTTTGGATGTGCAGCGGTGGTGTTAAGACTAACCGGTGGGCAGGAATTCGAAGACCGCGCACAACATTCACAACGTTCAGCTTGCTCTCTTGAACATCATGCTGTCTTGCGGAGAGAGAGGTGGTGAGTGGTCAATCGCGCATCGTCACATGTCAGAGGAGAAGGACCCTACTCATTGGTACGTGGGAGTCTTCACGGTCAGCGAAGGGCCAGCGACGTCAGCCGAAGACGGCAAACGACAGGATCTGCTGCGGTCCTGATATTTTTTTATGTTCAGTGTCTATGGCTTGCACATGATGACCCTCATTCCATCTCCCCCCTCCGTCGTGACCGTCGTCCTTGCCCCCTCGCCCTCCTCCCCCCGCGGTAGGCGAAACTTATGAGAGTCGTGACAACAAGTACTCCAAGATGGGCAGGGGGGTCGCCTATGAGAACAGGGTAGCTCCGGCCCCTCCCACCATGACCACCTGCAGCGGCGAGGCGTTCTCAAACGTTACCAGGGGGGACTACGAAGTACCGGATAGACGGTGAGAGCACAAGAAGAGAGTTGCAAGGATGATGATCAGCTTCTGGTCTATCCTAGAGAAGCATAGCCTGGGCCGGCGGAAGCCCACCGTATCGCTCCGTCCCGGCGTTGTAGGGATACGAGGTCACTGATCTAACGACCACGAGATGACACCCCCACCCCCTCACCCCCGCTCGCCGGCGACCTCCGTCTGAACCTCCAACCATGGACAATATGGCAACTTTTTCATCCACGCAGAGGGGTTTCTGCCAAGCACTTCTCGGCGAAACCACAGGATAGGTCAAAGCCGTTCCTTCACGACTCATTGTACGAGCACGACTTCAGGAACTTCTCCGACGTAAGCCGATCGACGCAGAAGCAGTACTTTCCCCCGTTGAGTACGAATTGCAGCTGTACTTGTCGGTCGAAGAGTATAGCGGATGACCACTCAACCTATTATTTTGTATGGTGACGTGACTTGCGTTTGTAGGAGAGCTGTTGTACTGAGCAGAAATTTCGCGAGAAGATTCGCTCTAATTGATCCTACCATCCACCGCTGAGAACACACCATATTCTTGGACGATTTTCTCATATTCATCCCCCGTTCACATTCAGCAGTGCTGAACCTTACCATTCCTGGGTGATAAAACGCTCCGACGAAAAGATTTCAAACATTGGTACCTGCGCGGCGTGGTACACAAGCATTGCCTTTGAGTGATGCTGCGGTAGGGGCGGCACCTCATGCTACGTTGGAGACAAACTCCACTTGAATTTGTCAGCCGCGTCGTATTTCGCCATACAACGACGGAAACAGGACTCCACGTTTTTTCCCGAAAGTGTGAGATTTCACCACGAAAGTTCACCCCCCGAACGTAGCATCAGTCCTTACTCGCAAACGGCGTGCTGCCCGTTGTTGGCCTTTGCTGGCCATCACCACCAGTCAACGATCCAGACAACAACCGCATCAACCAAGATTGCGAAATCCACTACTGCTGCATGCCGATGTACACGGGTGCCATGTACATCAGACATAACGCCTTTTTACTCCTAATACCATCGTGCACTACTGCATTCCTCTCTTAAAGGCCACATAAAACTGACATGAACGGTCGTGCCACGCAAAAAATAAACAGGAGGTAGACGGGCTGGACGGGGGAGAGGGACCAAAAGGGGGGAAACGCGACGGGGAAAAAGCATTCAAGCAGGAGTTTGACAGGCTAGACTCGGGCAACGGCGTGGTTCACATACGGGACATGCCGAAGCTCATCCAGGGTGTGCTTGGCCGCGACGTGCGCCCTTGGATCCTGGACCGTATCCTCAAGATGTTTGAGGCGAAAAGGTACAAGTACTGCACTAGTGGAAACGCCTACCGATTAGGGTGGTGCTGCCTGAGTCAGCGAGAAAGCTGTGTGTTAAACGATTCCTGTGGGAGAGGCTTGCTACACCTAGATACCTCTTGAGGGTTTTTGCTGGGAGACTTGTGTTTTCTACACCCTTGGTGTTTGGCTGCGCACGACGTCCAGGCCACCACATGTATCAGCCTCTTGTCGGCGCCAAACATATGCCCTGGTCGAATACTTCTCAGTGTTGTAGGGTTGAAGGGGCCGCGTGGTATGTTCAGTTTGGAAAAGTAATCAGAGGCTCAGGTTCAGGCTGGATGGTGCTCTCGTGTGGTGCTCGAAGAAACATTCGGGGTCGCCAGTTCAACCGATGTCTTGAAAACGCCTACCCGTAAATCTTTCACAACAGACCTTAATATATACCGCAGGGACGGCAAAGTCACCTGGCTCGACCTCCAGGATGGACTGAGGAAGGTCGCGGAGTCGGCCAGGTCCGACGTGTCGTACAAGGAGAGGGAGATGCCAGAATGGCTCGTCGCCAACAGAAAGGTACTTTTCAGTACCTAGTTTGTTCGATAATGATCCCTTGATCTCTACACGGCGGTAACAATTGCACAGAGCATCCTCCCTGAATATTCTTGTGCTCATCGCCGTATGTTCGAAGAGATAGAGTAGGTGCCATGCTTAAAATTACTCTCATGAAACGCTGCTCCGTTATCATATTTTTTTCTCTGAATGAACATACCATCACGGAAGGTACTCGTTTCTTTCTACCGTTGGCGATGATGGCCTGTGGCACGCAACAGGTCATGCCGGCGGTAACGCACGGGCAAGTGGCGGAGAGCTGCTACCAGATGGACATGGGCAAGGACGGGGAGATACCGCGCGAGCGCAGGATCTGGTACAAGACAGGCATGTCCTCGACGACCCTCGACCTCTTCGGAGGCACCACGAAGGCCACCTACCAGGTCCTCTCTATACCACCTGATACTACTTGTAGCGAGAAAGGGGGCGGCTATGGAGGAACAGTGGCGATGGGTTCTGTTCTTCATCTCAGAGTCTAGTCAACACCCGGGTTGATCCGTGGATCATGTGTTCCTTGGGGGCTGAAGGAGTGACGCGTATTGAACGGCCTTCTACTTTCTCTTCGGGAGTACCGCCTATCGACTGGCTAGTGTTTTCACCGGGGGTGGCGAGTGAGATCGATTCCCTTCCGTCAGAGCTTGTCTTGTTTGTGATGATGTTGATGATGTCTCCCTGCCCCCCCGGACCCATCGGACTTCCCCCGTGTGCCCCGTTTGCCGCGCAATACTTATCCCCACAAGACAACAACCACAACACAAATCTAATTGCTCGTGATGTCCTCTACAGGTACCGGGATACGGCGGTTTCGTACCCGCGAGCAAAATGAACCTCCGCGCTCGCGAGCATGGCGACATGAAGAACTCGAGACGACCACGTTTGGACCTCCGCCTCTTCTACCGTCACAACAACCCTGGTTACACCGGCCATGCACCTGCCGCCGCCTGCAACGACCCGGGCCCGTCGCGCTGCGGTTCCAACCCGCTCACTACCTCCGGTGCCGCGGCACTGGGGCTAACCTTATGAAAGTGCGAGCGATCGCAACACACAAGCTAAAGGTCATGCGGAAATATTATTCTTCGAGTGTTCTTTTTCCGGGGGGGGGGGGGGCT